GCACGCGCAAGAGCGAAGATCGGACGGCGTCACTCCGACCGCCTCGTCCCTGCCCGGCCTCCGCCGCCGCTGCCTCCGCTGCCTCCGCTGCCTCCGCTGCCTGAGGCAGCAGTGGCCGGCCGCGGGAAGTTGGGCGAGTCCACCACCAGCAGCACGCCGCCTCCGCCGCAGCTGCCCCCGCAACCTCCGCTGCCTCCGCTGCCTGAGGCAGCAGTGGCAGGCCGCGGGAAGTTGGGCGAGTCCACCACCAGCAGCACGCCGCCTCCGCCGCCGCTGCCCCCGCAACCTCCGCTGCCTCCGCTGCCTGAGGCAGCAGTGGCCGGCCGCGGGAAGTTGGGCGAGTCCACCACCAGCAGCACGCCGCCTCCGCCGCCGCTGCCTCCGCAACCTCCGCTGCCTCCGCTGCCTGAGGCAGCAGTGGCAGGCCGCGGGAAGTTGGGCGAGTCCACCACCAGCAGCACGCCGCCTCCGCCGCCTCCGCCTCCGCCGTCGCTGCCTCCGCTGCCTCTGCTGCCTCCGCTGCCTCCGCCGCCGCTGCCTCCGCCGCCGCTGCCTCCGCCGCCGCCGCCTCGGCCACTGCCTCCGCCGCCTCTGCGAGCAGAGCTGCGTCCGTCAGACGGTGATTGTCCGGGTGAACAGCCCGAATACGTTTGAGGTAGGCGCGCTTCAACTCAGAATCGTCCACAACCCGGCTCACCGGCAGGCCGAGCGCCTCAAAATGGTTCGGCGCGAACACGACCTCGCGAATGGCCGGAGAAAATTTGTCGCGAATGGCCGGAGGGACTTCGTTCATCTCGGCCTTCGAGATGGAAGGGCGCTGCTCGCCGAGGACGCACGAGACGATGCTGAACTCCTCCCCCAGCCGTTTGCTCTCGTGCAAGTCAGTCAGCTTGAGCGCATACGGCAGGTCGAGCTGCAGCCCGACGACGATCGAGCCCTCCTCCACCCAGAGCACCTCGATCGCCTCGGCCGCGACGCGGTGCGGCCGCAACGCACGCTTTAAATGCATGGTAATCTCGCCGCTGGCAGCCTCCTTGTCGGCAGCGGAAATAAAGTCGGAGCTCTCGCTCCCGCTCGCGCTGGCGGACTCCGAAGAGCTTGACTCGTAGCTCAGGTAGCCCTGCTCGTCGACCTCGACGCGGACGAAGAAGCCCGGGCTCGTCTGCACCTCGTGCTGCCGACGGCCGCGTTGCTTGACCAGTCTGACTTTGAACTGGTCGTCGGGCCGCATTTCAAGCTTCTCGGCGAGCCTCGCCTTGAACGCGCCGCTGTCAAAGGGCGGCGGACCGGTTAAGCTGCCCTCGATGGTGATGGTAAGGATGGTGGAGGCGCCGCTGCTTGACGACGCCACCTCCGTGGCCGCCGAACGCGGCGTGACACCGGCCGAGTGCTCCGCGAGCTGCTGTCGCGATGACGAGGCCGCGTGCAAGAGGGGAGCTGCTGAGTGCTCCTCGGCGGAACGGGTGGAGTGCTCATCGAGCTGCTGTCGTGAGACGACGTCGAGAGGCACGATCGGACGCGTCGTGAGGCGCCGTTGTTGAATCGCTTCACGCCGCTCACGCGCATGGCGCGCTGTCAGCTCTGCCAGCTCCTGCTGCTGCCTCGCATCCTGCTCCTCGCGATCGAGATCGGCCTCGCGACACTGCCACATAGCGTCGCGTGTGCTCGAGCCGTCGTCAATCACCACCTGCGCCAGAAGCTGCACCTGCTGCCGCGTCTCCTCCGCCTGCTGCTGCATCTGCTGCCGCAGCTGCACCAGAGCCGCGGCCTGGACCCGCGCCTCCAACTGCATCGCCTCCCTCAACTCCTCAAACGCCGACGTCTGAAACGTCATGCGGTGCACTTCGTCGATGGCCTGCAGCATCGCCTCGCACGACGAGGCGTCCAGCGCCCTCACGTGGTTTTTTGCAAACGCCTGGAGCATTAAGCAAAGCCGCCGGTACTCCTCCAGCGTCAGCGTCAGCCGGCCGGGGTTGGCGGCGTGCGCGATGAGCTGGTTGCGGAAGTCGTTGATTTTTTTGAGGTCGTCCCGCAGCGACGCCGGGCAGCCCAAGTCGAGCCAATGGTCCGTCCAGACGCTCGTATGCAGCCCGCCGTCCCACTTCTCCGGCAGCCCCGCCCTCAGCTTGTCGGGCGCGTTGCCCTTTGTAGCCTCCGAGCCGGGCCGGCAGCCGAGCACCGTTTGCCGCAGCACTCGCAGCTCCTCACTGAATGGGCCGCTGTAGGCGGGGTCGACAGGCAGCCGCGACGCGCTGTACTCGGCAGCAGGCTTGCCCGGCGTCACACGGTATTCGCCCAGCAGCGAGCCGCCCGGCGCATGCAGCGTAAAGCGAACGCGCGGAGGGAGGAGGCCGCTCAAATCCTCTGCGGTCAGCATGATCGACGCCGAGCCGCGCTCGAATGTCACGGTGCCGGGGAGCTCGAGCTCAAAGGACGGGGAGCCGTCGACCAGGAGGCCGCCTCGCGATGCGTCCCACGGCAGATCCGGATAGCGCCGATTCCACAGCGCTTTGAAGCGGGGAGCGAAGAGGTGTTCGGGCGCGGCGGAGAGGAGCAGCCGCGCGGCGCGCACCCAGTACAGCTCGTCTCTGCGCGCGTCGACGTCCGCTGGTTGGAGCTCCATATATGTTGTCCCTCAACCTGCGTCGGCGTGCGGCTCAATTCCTGCAAGGCGCCGACTTTTTAACAAAAATTAGGTGCCCTGTAGGCTTGGCTGCAAAGGGGATTTTTGTTGTGCCGACTTCGATCTTCGTGTGTGCTCCGCTTCTGAGAGAGAGATTTTGAGACATGAGAGAGAGAGAGACAGAGAGAGAGAGAGAGAGAGACAGAGAGAGAGAGAGAGAGAGAGAGAGAGAGAGAGAGAGAGAGAGCCGAGATAGAAAGAGAAAGATTTTGAGTGAGACGGTTTTAGAGAGAGAGAGAGAGAGAGAGAGAGAGAGAGAGAGAGAGGGGGGGGGGGGGGGGGGGGGAAAAAAAAAAAAACATTTCTTTCCAAATTTATTTCCCCCTCCAGGCGGGCTTAAAAAAAAAATTTTTTTAAAACCCCCAATCCCCGTCCTTGGTTGGGCCCCCCCCTGCCGGGGGTTTCCGGCCTTTGGCCCCCCTTTTTAAAACAAACCCCCCGTTTTCCAAAAAAAAAAAAGCCC